ATTGTCTTTCTATTTGTATCTATGTAGAGAAATACAGTTGTCCTTTAAAGTAGAAGGAAAAGTCGAGTAAAACCCAGCATTTAAATGTTATCTTCCTTTTTATCCCCATGGCCCTGCATACATTTTATAACAAGTCACAATGTAAATACCTTTTAATCAATGTCATTCTATGCAGTCACGTGACTACAAGCCCCTATTCTTTCTTCTTTCTGGGCAGCGGGTGGGTGTGGACTCTCTGCCATGATGACAACGCCTAGAGCTATGGACGCTGGCGGGTGACGTGACTACTATACAGTTGTGATCAAAATCATTCAACCCCCATTGCAAAGCATGTTTAACGCCAAAATTTACAGACCTTCAGCTGTTTGCTATGAACAAATCAAACAAAAGCAATTGAAATAGGTCAACGAATGTTTCAAGTGGTTTCGCAAAATTCAACTGAAAATTCAACTTTTAATGACTTCTGCAGTCTCAAAATTATTCCACCCCATTCATGGCAAGCATCTTAAAGTGACATTAAACCCTCAGATTTTTTAACATAAAACAATAGTGTAATGTGTGCCTTACTGTAATCCATGGTTGTTTCCCTTCTCTTTGCTGCTCTTCCTTTTAAATCTTCATGTCTTCTCATGCTGGGCAGAACTTCTGTTTTGCAGCAGTCTGCCTTGTCTCTGGAATGGATACATGGTGTCTGTGTGCAGGTTCACAACCTGAGCCAGCACTACAGGAAGAGGCACTCAGCTGCAAAGGGAAGTTCTCCCCCAGCATTAGAAGAGATGAGGATTTAAAGGGAAGAGCAGCAAAGAGAAGGGAAACTATCATGGATTACAGTAAGGCACACAATACAGTATTGGTTTACGTTAAAAAAAATCTGAGGGTTTAATGTCACTTTAAGTACTTAGCAGAGCAACATTTTGCTTGTATGACCAGCTACAAACGACATGCATCGCCAGATAGCATTCCTGAGGAATCTTAGCTCATTCCTCATGAGCAATGGCCTCCAGTTCACTAATATTCTTGTTTTTTTGTGCTGCAACCGTCTTCCTCAAATCCCACCAGAGATTTTCTATGGGGTGCAAGTCAGGTGACTGCGACGGCCAGTATAAAATCTTCCAGAAATTCTTCTGAATCCAAGCTTTGGTGGAATACGAGGAATGCTTGGTATCATTGTCCTGTTGGAAGTTCCAATTATGCTATCATGTCCCTTGATGGAGACTGAAAGGAGGAGGAGGCAACCCTTGCGTCTCTTCCCCAACACCCATGGATCCAAATGCCGAATGGAATCAAGCAGGAACAGCAGACAGGAGTGAGGTTGGGGTCACAAGCCGAGGTAAGAGCCAGCTGGGCAGTGCGGTACCAAATCTGAAGCCAGGAACAGTGTCAGGGTCACAAGCCGAGGTCAGAGCCAGCTGGGCAGTGTGGTACCAGATCTGAAACCAGGAGCAGTGTCTGGGTCACAAGCCAAGGTCAGAGCCAGCTGGGCAGTGTGGTACCAAGCCAGGAACAGTGTCAGAAGGCAGAGATCAGAGCAGATTCAAGGCAGGAGACAATTCATAAAACAGGCCGAGGTCACAGGAGGCAGGCAGCCAGGCAGCAGGCAAAGAGAAGTTAGTAGCAAGCTGGGTCAGGAACAGGAAACAAGGACTTCAGAGCGCAGGGAACAGGACTAGCTAAAAATCAATCAGCAATGAGGGAGCCAAACCTGTTTATATGTGCTCATCCGCTGTCACTTCCTGTGCTGTGTTCCTTGCACATGCATTCCACATATCTTCCGTTGCACATGTGTGCGTTGGTATGTGTGCGAAATCGAACGTTTCCCTTTGACCCTGAACTGCACGTGTGTAAACTTTAATGCGCACAGGATTTCTTACAGATGCCCAAGCTTCAGCTTCCACACAGTCGGCATGACGTGTACTTCTCAGATTTCCTGGTACTTCAAATAATCCATCTTGCTTTTCACACGCTGCAGGTTTCCAGTGCTAGAGGATGCAAAGAGCATCGCTGAGGCACCACCATGCTTAACTGTAGGCAGAGTGTTCTTTTCACCGTCCGCTTCATTCTTCTCAGTGCCTGTTGCCACCAAGTCTTGCTGCAGGTCTTTTGCAGTCACTCTTTTTATGAACCTGCCTTCTCAGAAATCTGGTTGCAGTCATTGATAGCTTCCTTTGTCTGCCCCGTCCAGGTAGTGTAACCACTGTTCCTTTAATTTACCTTTGAACTTGCGGACTATGCTGCCAATGGTGTCTCTAGGAACATTCACTGCCTTCACTATCTTTTTGTTGTGTTTGTGAAGGGCGATGATCTCTTCTCTTAAACATTTTAAAACCTTTCTTTTGACTTAGCCATATTTCTATCAAGCACTTTAACGTGACACTCAACAAACCCCTAGCCAATTCAGGTATTTCATGTTTTCTAGCTCTAGCACACCTGACAGTTGACAAGCGCGACAAAGCATGGCGTCCCACACTGTGCATTACCAGCCCAAAAAAAGCCATCCCACACTATCAGGGTTATTCACAAAAGGGTGAAGAGTTTGGAGAAGGCAGGAATAGTGAACAATCTAGGACAACATAGCTGAACTGGAAAGTGAGCTGAATTAGAGAATTTTTCCAAATCTGCTATTTTTGCCTTGATTGTTCACTTCTCCTGCCTTCTCCAAACCCTTCACTATTTTGTGAATAACCCTGTATGTGTTAGAGGAACTTGTGAACACACTATGTGTATAAGCCTAGGTAAAGTTTGTGTTGCCCGAAGCAACCAACCAATTTCCAGCACCCTACAAAAAGTGACACACAGGTGTAACTATGGGAAACCTGGCCACTGACCTAAAATAGATCATGTGTTATGCTGGCCACACAAAAGTAGAATTGCTTTTGAAAAAATGTGTTTCCATACTATTTGTTCTTAACAGGGACACAGACAACGATAAAAACCGAACAGGTGTTCTAATCCCTCTCCACTCCAAAACCAAAAAAATGTCTTCAGTTGCACTTTAAGAATATAAAAGTTGTAGGACAAGCAAGCCATGTGACAAGCTCAATGACACCCCATGACCTTCCCCTCTGTCCGCATTGGGAGCACCAATATGGCGCTGGCATAAATACGGTGGGTGTGCCAAGATGGCAGAAAGCATCTCTTTCTCCCTTCCCGTATTTTCAAATACCACACACGACGCGTTGTGTTGAGTTTATAAAACAACATTGTTTCCGTCACCACGCTATTTTATAACGCTGAAAGGCCGTTATACAGCGAGGCGACTCCGGTCTTCCCGAACTGCTCTCTATGGTCGCCAGCTGCTCTATTCCTTCCTCCGGAAATCTCGTTGGTCCCGTCCGCGCCGCGGTGCAGTGTGGGTAGCCGCTGTCAGCCATGGCGTCCCGTGCCCTCTGTGTGTGTGTCCGCGCAGCGCTGCGCCCAATTCCCCGGCGGTCTGTGGCGGCCCTAAGCGGAGCCGTGTGCCGGCAGCACTCCACCCTGAGCAGGCGTGCAGAGCCGGCCCCGCTCCTCAGCACACAGGTACAGTGCGGGGTCAGGGTCACCTAGGAGAAGGGGGTAGAGTGTATAGCGGGGAGGCCTTAGCCAATGTGCTGGTAACCCATAGCAACCAGCCAGGTCACTTTGCTGAATCCAGAGCAGTACCATGAGGGCTCTGATTGGTTGCTGGAACCTGGACTGAGAAGATTACCCGGGCTGCCATTGCTGGCCTCTCCATTGGCTTGGCTGTGATTGTGCTCCTGCGGATTGATTGTATTCTGTGTTACTGATATGGAGATCACAGCCTGACCCAAATAGCCGCTGTCAGCCAGGCAGGTAGCTGGAAACAATGGCAGACCTTTCTTGTAGGCCTCATGCATGCTATCCTCACTGAGCTGCACAGACTCAGTACAAGGGCATATAGAATGCATTTGCTTTCTATGTGCCTGATGCTGTGCTGGTACAATGTGGCGTGCTCTGCAGCTCACGGCACCACATGCTGACGACAATGCACTGCGGTGCATAGAGCTTAATAAATTGTCATTTGCGACACTTTACTTTTAAATAATGTAATTCTCACATGTCCCCTCCCCCTTCCCATACTAAACTATACCCCCTTGTATTCACCTTAGATCAGCGGATGAGCCTGTTCAGGAGCTGTGACATGTTCTGGGCAGTGCTGGTCCTCCTCATCTGGCATTGGTGTGCAATTGGAAAGGCCAGCTCCCTGCAGACTGCTGGGCGACATGACTTCTCTATGAAGAATAGGCCATGCACACTCAGTACTTTGATTTGATTTTTATTTTAAACGGCGAACTAACCCATTAACACGGCTGGGTACACTGAAGGGGGGGAGGGGTTAATTACTGAACCAGTCAGAAATTAGCATTTTGTATACATTTTCGTATTGCATTTGAAGTTGTGAGGTGGGATGTTGGATTTGTGTGCTGTTATTCACTTGTATTTTCTCTGTGTCAAATCAGAAATGTCTCTTTAGTATTTTTAAGTCCCTGACCTGGAACAAGTGATGCACGCCAAAGGAAAGTCAGGAGTCCTCATTTGCATATTTGATCCAGGTTCAAGCTATTGAACTAGACGGTCAGCGTGACTGACAGTCAACCAGCATTCATGTTTTGTTGGGTTTTTTTCCCCCCCCAATAAAGGTGAATTTGGTAAAATGAAATTACCCTCACCAATCTGTTCCCAACACCCCCCCCTGCTGGTCTTACCTGTCAATGAGAGGTAACTTGTATTCTCTCCCTGTCACGGTGAGGCTAGGTTCACATATCGGTGACCGTGCACGATTGCACACTGCGATTGCTGCGCGGCCCTGTTGATTTCAATGGGGTTATATCCGCATGGCAATTGCTGGACAAAAAGTTACATGTACCTTTTTTTGCGACCCGCACCGTGTGGGTTTTTAAACCATGATTGTGCGCTAATGCACGGGTGGTATCGTGGCAGGAAACTGCGTGATCTGCCTGGCACGATTGGGATGCCATTAGAAAATAATGGCACCGCCGACGCGATCGGCAGTGGTGTGTGATTCCGTGACCAAGCGGTTTCTAGCACAATTGAACCTAGCCTAAAAGTGTTAGGCAGCAAGAGAATACAGGGAGAGAATACAAGTTACTCCTGAGAGATTCCCCTAGGAAATGTTAACATATGGTGCCTTGTTCTCTTTTAAATGGAGTCTACATTGAGCCCAGAGCTATTGTATTTTACCATACGGGCAGTTGCAGCCAGGTTCAAGAGCTGGGAGCCCTCGGGTGCCTCTTATGTCTGTGAAGTTGGGCCGTAGTATATTGTATGCATCAGTTTTATGGTAATTCTTTAAATGGCACTTTTTAGGTACATAATGCTAGCTCTTTCCTACACTTTGTGTCTCTGCAGGTCTCCAATCACTTATATCAATCATGTCGCCAGTACTGTGCACCTCCCCTAACTCTGGAAGGCATTGCAGATCGAGTTTTATATGTATTGAAGCTGTATGATAAGGTCGACCCAGAAAAGGTGAGTCTGCTTTTCTTCCAGTCTTCCTAAGCATTGTAGAACTGACACTGGAAGTATATGGCAATGTGTGGCCTGTGCTATTGGAAGGTACCAGGTGTACCACCTAGTTACACTGCCAATACTGCCTTAGATTTATTTACTGCATGTATTTATATAGTGCTGACAATTTACACAGTGCACATTCACATCAGTCCCTGCCCTTAAGGAGCTTACAATCTAAGGTCCCTATATCACATGCATATGAGGGCCAATTTAGATAGGAGCCAATTAACCTTCCGGCATGTCTTTGGAGTGTGGGAGGAAACCTGCGCAAGTACAAGGAGATCATGCAAACTCCTTACAGATGGTTTTCCTGACCGGGAGTTGAACCGGGGACCCCCAGTGCTACAAAGCAGAATTTCTAACCGCTACCCATGTGCTACCCCTTATCTCATAGTCCCATCAATAAACTCGCCCTTCTCCCCATCTGTGTCTTTGTGTCATCACATTTCCTTTTCAAGACATCCAGCTCCCAAAGGACTATGGATCATTTATGGTCTCTGGAAAATGACCACTAGAGCCCATAGAAGCAGACTGTACAGTGTTTAAATGACTGAGCTCCCTCTAGTGCAGGGGAAGCAAACTGCGTCCTTCCAGCTGTGATGAAACTACAAATCTTATGTAGTTATCTTATCCGCCTCAGAGTCATGCCTGTGGCTGTCAGTTTTGCAATGCTTCATGGGATTTGTAGTTGCACCACAGCTGAAGGGATGGCGTTTGCCTAATCCTACTCTAGTGCCGACCAGTGGCAGCCATCACTAGAGCAAGTATTCTGCCAGAATTATATTCCATACTTGCATCTTTTGCCTTTCTGTACTGCCCAGCATTAAGAATGAGTAAACTCTGGCCTAAGCATGAACCAAATAGCTCTCATTTAGCTTTTTGACCTGATATAAGCATGCACACAATGAATTTACCCAGACATTGCCTGCAGAGATTATAATCTTAAAGCTGAACTCCGGCCGCCCCTTCAGTTTTGCACAGTTGTTCCGGCTCCTCTCCTGGACTGAAATGGCTTAAGCCGGCCATACACCTATAGATTATCTGCAGACTTTGTATGGTCAGATGGAAAAAGTGCAACAGATTTCTCCATGTACGCTGCACTGTGTGGATGGAGGAATCTCCCACTGGGCCAAGCTTCAGTATCTTGCTAGTCGGCCCCGCTGGCTGTCAAAACACCTGAACAATGCCGGCATCCAATCAGATTGGCTAGGAAGCCGGCTTTAATTGTTGGTAGGCAGCCTGGCTTTTTGACCAATCGGGAACCTGGACGGCACCTCATGACTTGCGGTACGGCTTCCTCATTGGTCAGGCAGCCTCTGAAGCCGGTGTTCTTTTGCTGGAACACCGGCTTCACAGGCAAACAGGAAGCCGGTTGACGGGTCATGATCCACCGCCCGACTTCCTGATAACGAGGGCACAATGCATGGGTACAGGGCAAGTACCGGGGGAAAAAAAATATCTACTCGATACAAAAAAAAAACGGTATCGCTGTATCCCTAGTAATAAAAATAGTTTTTATTCAAAAATGTCATTAGCATTTTGATTAGGGTCTGGGGAGTTACATGGGAAGGCAAAATAGGGGACTTAGTGAGCAGAACAATGAATGGGAATTAGAAGTATTATATTACTAGAATTTCCTCCAAGTTCAAGAAACTTTTTTACCTCTTCTGTGACTTTGAAACGACAACTTCCAACATTCAGTGTCTGCTAATTGTCTTTTTGGCACCGTTTGCTGTAATGGTTTGTGAACAAATAGTAGGTGGTGTGTCTTCCCAATGTAATTGTATTATTGCAGCCCTGTGCACAAAGCCACTGTGGAGAAGTGAGTACCAATACCCAGACAGATGCAAATGTAGCATATACTTCCTTTCCTCCCACGGCGCGTTCACATTTCAGTAGTGGCTGTGTGCAACCGGGAGACATAAATGTACAGAATTTGATGGTCTCTGTGTTTTAATCCCTCCATAATTCCTGGCCCACTCTGAATCCTGAGATACGCGCTACAGTCCACATCGGAAGATGCAAATCAAAGTTCATCTTGCAGCTATAATCTATAATCATCCTCTAGTTATGATTTAAAGGGCTTTTCGGGGGGGGGTTAAGACTTCAAGACTTCTTATTATTGTTTACATTGAGTCAGCAGATTAAATTCTGTTCTGTTACACACAGAATGGCAGACAAGATCCTCAATACCAGAGTTTAACATTATATAAACCGCTGCGCTAGGAGAAAAAGTATATTCTTATTAACAGAGTTCAACATTGTAATCCAAAATGAACAAACACCACTCGCATCCCACACACATGGCTTGGCCGCATAATCCTGTAGCATGGCTGTATCTCAGAACATGTTTATGTTGAAAGTGCCACAAAAAGCTGCACTCCCAGAGAATTCCATAGCAGTAAAAATGTGTAATATATGAATGCAGCAGTATGGAAACG